ACTTTTTACAATTTAAAGTCTTTAAGCTGCTGTGTTAGAAGTTAAAGTTAGGCTGGGAGGCCTCCACACAGTGACACCTCATCCAGAGATGTCCCAACTTCTCCTGTGTCACAGCTCTGTTTATAGATGGAGGCTAATCCTGTGATGGTACGCTGAGCTGGAGGGGATCACCTGGAAGAGGGCTTGTTCAGAACATGACCTGTAGTCTTTAGTGCTGCTCCTCTCCATAAAGCTTCTGTTACACGGTTCAGGCCCGCAAATCACACAGAAGGTTTTAGGTTTGGCCAATATGATGGATTTAGTAAGGATATGTCAGATTATAAATAGTTATTATAACTGGATCATTGCTTGTGCTTCTAAGGTTTAAATATTGTATCCTAGAGGCGACATCCCTCTGGAGCTGGCATGACAATCTGTCTATTAGAATAAGGTGGAAAACCTCAGTTTTACAGTATTTATTAGGGGTGTAAATCACACCTATCATGGCGATTCGATTCAGTATCGATTTCCTGACCCAGCGATTATTTTCGATGATCAGGAATAAACCACGATATGATTCAATTAGAGTAGAAAAGTTGTACTCCACCTATTCCTATTAAAACCTCATTCACAAAAAAATAATAACCCTGCGTTATAGATCCTGAAAGGCCTTGTATCAAAAAATACTGCACAAAATCAGTGCAATGAGTGTAATGCAATACCTCGGCTCCACACGGCCCCGCCCCTTTCCACAGACGCTCCGCTGCACCTCTCCCAAATTGTAGCTGACCGCAGACAGGAGCCCGGCTTCTTTTTTGTTTTTATGACCGAAATTGCGGAAAACAACTCGTGAAGTTTGACCCGCTAGAAGAGTGAGGTGCGCAAGAACGCTGGGACCCTTTTTCCACCTGGATCTCCGCTCTTTTTGGCCCTCATGTCCCTCCGTTGTCGAACAAACTCGCCGCCACTTCCTCGCCGCCTCGGCCGTATCTAGACCCACAGTGTGTAGCAGAGACCACGCTTCAATATTGAGCATAATTTAAAAATGTCTGTGTCAAACTTACTGCAACCAACTGCTGTAAGGGTATAACTAGGAAGCGCGGTAGGAGGGCAAAATTTTTAGCGCCACCGCAGCACGGGAGGGAGAATTACGCCCAGGAGCAAATGGACGTATCAATGCATCGGAACGTCAGCTGTTGGATCGATGCATCGATACAAAACGATTATTATTTACACCCCTAGTATTTATACAAAAAAGTATTGCATGCTTTAGGTGCTTTTATTTCATATGGAAAGAAAATATGTTTATATTTTCAGAACAGGCTTCGACTTAAAAAGAGATGACTGCGCTTTTAACGCTAGAACTACCAAGGCTCATTTTGACATTTCTGAGACTTTTAAGGTAAAGAACTTTATATACAGGTGATCACATATATACATGAATCTTATGTTGGTCTTGTTAATTGATTTTTCCTGTTTCTATATTTTCTTCATTTTCACATACTTTTTTTTAATAAAATAAAAACGTAAAAATGGTTTATTTTACTGCAACCTCCAACAGGCAAAAGTTTTGACGACTCTATTATTTGCATTGTAAATTCTTTGTTTCCCTTCCGAAACGAAGCAAAAACATCTGAAAAATGTCAGAAAGACGTAATTTGGCAGAATTATTAGTGAAAAGCATTTAGCTGGGTAAAATAAAATGTTTTGAATTTGAAACCATTCGTTTTTCTGTATATAACAGTGCAATGTTATGCACTGCTATGTGTTTTTGAAGGTGATTTAAACATATTGTGATATATCGTGTATCGCAATTATAGGCCAAATTATCGTGATATTAGATTTTCCTCGTATCGCCCAGCCCTGATCTGAGCAGCCTTTTTTTAGCCCCTGACAAGCAGCGTGCAGCAGGAGGTTGTTTTATACGTCCATACAGCTGGAAATAAACTCTTATCACTCTGGACTTTTTTAGCATCTTTGAAAATTATTTTTTCTGCTGTGCTCGCTCTTTTTCTCTTTCTTTTATCTATCTTTTTTGTCCTTTTCTCTTTCTGTTTCACTCTCTCTCTCTGGTTGAGAGACTGAGAACAAGTCTGTAAAGTGTTTTGGTGCTGAGCCATTTAGGGATTTATAGACTAACAGACGTATTAAAGTCTATCCTCTGAGATATGGAAGGGCCTCTGTTAGGACTTCAAGGCTGGGGTGATACACTCCTCTGTCTTTAAGTGAAGAAGCTGTTCAGGTCTGAGTTCACCCAGATGTTGGGTCTGATCTCATCTGGCCCTCTGGATGTTCTGTGACCAACACGGACTGAGCTCTTATAGTGATAAATCAGTGACCTGTTGCTGCTCAGGTTTGTCCACTGAGCAGAAAACCTGGTCAGTCCCTGATCAGACCAGACCAGCTTGACATTAAAATCCATTAAATGTGATTTATAAAAAAAAAAAAAACTTTTATAAAGACAAGTTCATCACATATATCGCACTAGGGTTGCAACAACGAATCGATAAAATCGATAAAAATCGACTTTTAAAAGCGTTGGCAACGAATTTCATCATCGATTAGTTGTGTCGCGCGATTATTGCGTCATCCGCCGCGCCGTCATCACTGCCTCTTGACTGAAAGAGGAAGAAAAAAAAATATGGCAGAGCGAGTCAGCGCCGCAGGTGCAGTGTTGCCAACTCAGCGACTTTTCAGACCCCTCCAGCGACTATTTTTCAAAAAAGCGACTAGCGACAAATCTGGCGACTTTTTTCGGTGTCACTGGCGGCTTTTGGAGACTCTTACGTGAAAGCATGTATCGTTCCTACTCTGCTGTGGGGCGCCTCCCCCACCCCAACCGTGTTTTCCCGCAGGAGTCCCTCTCAGCGCTGCAGTCAGAGCCTCAGCGTCCAGACTGCAAATGAAGCGTGCATGCACCGGGATTGACGGCGCAAATTGATCACAATAATTAAAATAGCCTGCGCTTTGTAAAGTGAAAAAAGTCGTAACATGCAACTTTTGTCAAAAGAAATGAACATGGCACGGAACCACCATGTTTGTTTGGTTTTAAAGTGGGGAAACGTTACGTTAGTTTCTCAGGTAGCTCATCTGATGCTTTCCTTACCGTGTTAGTAGGTTACAGACAGTGATAAGATTGGCTACTTATTTTACTTTTAATTTCATTTGAATTAGCTTATGCAGCGTTTATATTTTCTTTATAAATAAATTAACTTGCAAATTATGAGGGCAAGGCTTGTAAAGTTTAAATCTTCTGGCAAAGATAAAGTAAAGAAGATCCTGCAATTTATGGAAGTAAAGCAGAATAAAATCCAGCAAGATCAGTAATGTCAATTAATTATCTGCCACATTCCCATGTAAATATCTGTCTTTGGAGGATTTGTTTTTTAGCACCCCTAGTTCTCTCATTTTTATTCCAAATACAATTTATAATTTGAATCACAGGGCTATTTTTATCTCTATGGTTCAGTATTTTCTCAAGTAGCAACTTTAACTGCTATACTTTCCTGTCTTAAAAGGCAGAACTCTTCTAGTCTAAAAAAACTCTTTTGTTGAAATGGGGGGACCTATTGTTTGAACCCCTTAGGGGCTTTTAAAAACAAAAATGTCTTTTTTTGCGCTTTATGAAACAAAGTACCCTATATTTTGTGGATGTACAGCTACATTTCTCATGTAAGTTTGCGTAGTTTTAACACAAACATTTATTTTTCATATTGCACCAGTACAGTTAATGAGCAACCTGTACTTGTGTGCTTGTTTGTTCTGTCTAAAATGTTTATTTTGGAATAAAGAGGTTAATATAAAAAATATTTTTTGTCCGATTCATCGATTAATCGAAAAAATAATCGTCCGATTCATCGATTTTTAAAATAATCGTTAGTTGCAGCCCTATATCACACTATATTTGTGTGGAATGCTGGTATTTATTCAGGTTGATGGAAAACCAGCTGAACTGCTTGTTCTGAGTTTAGAGATCAAACAGACATGCTTTGATGGACTTTGGTCCGTGATTCCAAGAACTCGCAACAGAAATGATCTGTGAGTGGAAACCTGTAGAAATCCTCTAAAGCAGGGGTCTTCGATGTTTTCCAGGCCGAGGAGCCCCTAATTATATATATTTTATGAAATCATGTTATATCAAACCGTCTATAGCAGGGGTCTGCAACCTGCGGCTCCAGAGCCACATGTGGCTCTTTGGATCCTTTCCAGCGGCTCTTAATAGTGGCTAAAATGTATAGAAAGAGCTCAATATTGTACTATAATAGATACCAGTATTAAAAGCTTTAGTGTTTTTCATAAGACAGAAAATAATGATATGAAAAGAACCAGAAATATGTTTAAGGAGCCATTTTTCTTTGAATTAGCTTGGAAATGATGTGTTTTAATATTTTAAATGCTAAAATACATAAATCGTTATTGGTTTAATATGGCAACTAATCTATTAAAAAAATAAATAAATAGTATTTATTTTTTTTATTTTTTAGTCATGTTATGTTTTGCGGCTCCAAACAACTTTTTCTTCGTCGTACTCGAAGCAAAATGGCTCGTTGGATGTGAAAGGTTGCAGAGCCCTGGTCTAGAGTCACTCTATTACAGCTGGAGTAATGTAATGAAAATCATTTTGCCCTGGGATTATTAGAATATTTCTGATTCAGATTCCTCATAGATGGGACAGGTGTTGTGGATGAAACGGTTTCCAGCTTGAAAGAACTCCTGTGTGTCGCTGAATGTGTGCATGATGACGGAGACATCTTCTGCCTCCATTTATCTGTTTACTAGTGTCTTGAATTCAAGTTAATGTGTATTTAAATACATTTCAATTAGTGGAAAAAATTGCAGGGGGGAATATATATATATATCTATCACTGTTTCCAACAAGGTGAAGTGGTCGACCTCTTTGCCTCTACTTAGAAAGTCATTCGGAGCTTTTTTTTATGGATACCCCAGTTCTCTGATTTCAGATGCATTGGAGTAAATATTAGGATGTTGAACTAATGTAAATTCTGTCTTTTTTTTTACAGACTGGTGTCATCCATCCACGCTCTCATGGCAACAACAGCAGGAGTCATTATCGTGTCATCATGCAGAGGGAACATCATTTATGACAGGTCAGTTTTATTGAACTACTTCTTCTAATTCAATAATGACTGCCTCTTTTATCTGTTTCTGGCATTTCTTGAAGTGGTGAGAGATAATGAGTAGATATCTTGCTGCTGATAGGTCTCCAAAGCTGCTTTATTCGTATGCCGGTAAAGCCAAAATAATTTATACACCCTGCAGTTTAAGATGAGAAGTTTGGCTCTGATTAGAAATGAGATAGAAATCTTCAAAGAGATAAAATGGTCTAAGAGGAGGAACATTTCTATTATACATGTTTTTTTAATGCTAGGAGTTATTCAGTCCACTGTCAGTAATCAGTGGAATATTGTTTCTTTATCAAACTCCTTATATTTTTTTTTGTCTCTAATGTCTCAGATCAATTGAAGTATCGGCTATTCTGAGCCTTTCTGGGCAAAACGGATCTGTTTTAATCCAAATCTGATCATGATAACGATGTGATGCTCATAACATCCCATTACCACCACATGCTAAAAAATAAAAAGCCCCCAAAAAACTGTCTCTTTTAACGTCTTTATGTAGCATTAGAGGCTGCTGGAAACAACCTGAGGAATTTCAAGAAATTCAACCTAAAACTTCTTTTCCCCTTTTTTCACGAACTCTGCTTGCTTCGCTCCTTCGCTTAGTTGATGCTTTTTCTTGTGTGGTTTTTTTAAATTTGAAATTTTTTTAGTACATAAAAGGTAGGGCTGCAATTAAAGTCGTAGGGAAGCGGCTGTTCCAACCGTTGCATTTCCGAATTCCCCCGAGTGGTGCATGGCTTTACACGAGTGAATAAAGTGAGCGGGATTGTTTTGGCGGATGGTTCGCAAGCAAGTTTAGTTGTGGCCGATTTGTCGGAAGCATCTTGTTATTCAGTTAGCAACTTAGTGCTAGTAGGTTCAAAATGGGAAATTCCATTGGGACAAAGTAGTGCTAAATTGTTGACTTAGAAACGACCCTGTCAAGGAACGCTATGGACAGAGGAAACATGCAAGAGGAGGAGAGTTTAGTGTCGGAGGTCGTGGATGAGTCTCCTCCGTCATCCATTTTTTATTTAGAAGAGGAAAAAGCGGGGACGAAGATGTTGTGGAAGAGGACGCCAGGGCAGCAGAAGCTTGGTTTGGTGTAGAAGGCTTCCAGCCGTACATGTTTGAGCCCTTGCCTCGCAACGCTGCCAGCTCTGTTAGCTCTATGCCTGCTGAAGACACAGACGTCCATCCCGGTGAACACTGGGACGGAACTCAATGCTAAAGTAAATGATTCTTAATTCAATTGTTGCGTATATTAGGTGCGACGTATGAATCAAGATGCTATGACCGAAAAATGTTGATTGATAGATGACTGTTGATATATGATTGGCCGAATTTAGGTGTTCAGGCTGACGTATAACTAACTGGCCTGCATAAGATAAGGAAAACAAAAGTACATTTTAAGACAGGATTTTTTCTTTAAATAGAAATTTTCTAACTTCTGGGACAATATGGTTTAATAAAGAGTACATTTATATACATGTTTAAGCCAGAATGATTTGACGTTTAAATATGACGTCCCTACGACTTTAAACAGTCAGCACAATATCAGTGTCTGTAATATTTATATAAATGATCGTTTGTAGTGCTTTGACGGCGGGTTAATATTTTCAAAATATTATGAACTTGCATTTTTCATGCTGATCTTGGGTGTAGCAATAGTTAAATATAAAGGAAACTTTTGTGAATACATAAAAAAAGATGCTTTTTCGTGAATGCAGGTGGAGTGTGAACATTCTCTGCCTCTTTCTGTTTTATGCAACAACAATGTTGCTGCTTGCACCTTTTTACTGTCTTGCTGCTTTAAGCCTACAAGCTACACTAGATTAAAGGAATAGTACACCCAAAACATGATTAGCCTTCATTTTCTACTCACCCCCATGCTGAACAACACTCTGGAGTACTCTTTTGATATCTCAAATGCATCTGGAGATCTGGGAGGCTTCTTGCTCTCTGCTGACATTCAAATAATGGAGGTCTATGGTGCCCGAGGCAGAAAGGTCCATAAAAGTCCACAAAAAACGGGTCAATATTCCTCCATACTGCTCGTCCAATGTATTCCAAGTTTCCTGAGTGGGTAGCATCCAGAATTTACTCGAAACGAAGTCATTTAGAATGTTTTTAGAGCATAAACAGTAGTGTATAGGATTTCCTAAAAGCGCGCACATGTGCGATCACGACGCTACGGAAGCCGGCAGACCAAACCAGACGAAAGTGCGCATTCAGCTCGGCAAAGAACTCATGCTCTTCCTCAACACTGAAGTCCTCAGACATTTTTCTTTCATTGTTTCTTTCTTTGCACACGTAAACGGCACGTTTCTTCTTCTACGCTTGCATTATTGGAAGAGCAGACGCTGAATGCGCACTTTCATCTGGTTTGGTCTGCCGGCTTCCGTAGACTCGTGATTGCGCTTTCAGGAAATCTTATACACTACTGTTTATGCTCTAAAAACATTCTAAATGACTTCTTTTCGAGTAAATTCTGGATGCTACCCACTGAGGACACTTGGAATACATTGGACGACCAGTATGGAGGAATATTGACACGTTTTTTGTGGACTTTTATGGACCTTTCTGTCTCGGGCACAATAGATCTCCATTATTTGAATGTCAGCAGACAGCAAGAAGCCTCCCAGATCACCAGATGCATTTGAGATATCAAAAAAGTACTCCAGAGTGTTGTTCAGCATGGGGGTGAGTAGAAAATGAAGTCTAATCATGTTTTGGGTGTACTATTCCTTTAATTCAGACTTGGATCTAAATAGAAAACAGAAAACAATGTCTAGAACAGCTTTTCTGCTTCAGGGTTTTCATGAACAAAGTTAAAGGTAAGTTCTATTTCTTTTTTTATAATCAAAACTTATTTCCTATAGATCTATTCAAATAAGCAAAAATTTATTAAATAAAAAAATCCACTGTCTTTGCAGCCTCTGCTAACCACCACTGCTTTATTATTTTGTTATTAAATGTTAATATATTACAACTAATCAATCAGAATTAAATAGATTTTGGGGGTTTGAATTTAAATAGATTTTAGAATTTTCCCATTGTGGGACAATAAAGGGATTTTTTATTCTATTCTATTCTATACCCATCCCTAGCTGAGGCCACAGTGTCTCCATAGTTGATCCTACAGCCTGTCAGCCAGGATCCTCCCTTAGAACAGGGCTTTAATCCGGCTTTTGCCTCCAGATCGAGCAGCAGGTTTTTGTTAGCATAGCACTGGCTTTCTTTGTGCAACTCAGGAAAGTGTGACACTAGGCTAATGCTAACCAGTTAATCTCACTGAGTCAGCAGCCGGACCAGGGCAGTCCCAGTTTCAGGTCGCTAATCCCAGCCCCCCCCCACCACCCCTCCTCTTTTAGCCACCGAGTTAAATCCTCCACTGCGCTGCTCAGTTCTGCTGCTGTGAGGTGATGTGCAGCAAACCTGGAGCTCATCAGACACATTCCCCACAGGAACACCCCACAGCTACGTCTCGATGCGTTTCAGTGTTTGGACGCCTCGTCTCATCTGCTGCCACGAGTGAAAGGGATGGCAATGACGGATCCTCATTAAATCTGACATGTTTTATTTTACCCCAAACAAGTCTTTGTGCTTCCAGATCTCTGAGACATCAACAGTGTCTGAGCTGGCAAACAGGCGGTGGTTTATTTAAACTACAGCTATCCTTGAAGTGCTGATAAAAATGCACAGAGGTCATTATAGCAGTGTTATCATGATCCTGCAAGGATTCCTACACTGCCTGGGAGTATACTTTATTTTCCATCTTTAAATGTGTATCTAAAAAGAAAATGGGGATATTAGTATCTGCATTCTCTGTTCTATAACCTGTTGTCTTTCTGTCCTGTCAGTCGCAGCATTTCAGGCATGTGTAATTAAAGGACCTGGTTATCTACATGAGCCAGGGCAGATTTGCTCTACACAGAGGATATCTAAAAGCAGGATCCTCATTGCATAATTGACTTTATTAAATCAAGACTGGATCCAGCATCAATTTTGGCTGGACACACTGATGCAATAGTAACCTGCGTTGGTGTGAACTTCAGCCATTCCGAGAATTTAGTGAATAGAACAGAAAAAGTCATTTATCTTCCAGCAGTGGAGAAACTCTGGGTGTGTCGGTTAACATGTAGAAATGTGTTTGTCTTGAATTTGTTTACGCGTTGTCGCCTGGAGATGAACAGCCTTTTTAATCTGGTAGGGAGGAAATATTATACATTAAAAGAACATCAGTTCAATTCAGTTTATTTATATAGCACCAAATCACAACACGTCATCTCAAGGTACTTTACAGTTCACCAGATCATCCAGTCAGATTGATTCAAGTTTTCTCTTTAAGGAAAACCAGTTGACTGCATCGACTCAATGACTCTTCAGCAATCCCTCATACTAAGCATGCTTGTAGTGACAGTGGAGAGGAAAAACTCCCTTTTAACGGTTCACAAAATCCACGGTTCGGTTCACGGTTTCGTGGTCACGGTTTTTGGTTCGGTATATGTTGATTGCTAGTAAAATCTCTAAGCTGACATGTTGGTCATGTTGCTGTTAGCATAAACACAACGTGTTGCGCAATCCTCGCACACTGTAGCACTTTAATCCACAACTTTCTTTCCGCCGTCATCGTAGGTCACTCTAAATGCAAAGTGGTCCCATACAGCAGACCTATAAAGTGCTGCTGGCGCGTTTTCCAACTCCTGTTCTTTCCCACTCGCCATACCCACACAATTCTCCACAACAATTGATTTTTTTCTGCTACATCCGGCTAAGCTGCTTCGCTTCTTCTTCTTGTTTACTACTGGTGGTTGGCTTTGGTCGCAGTACCGCCACCTTCTGCTCTGGAGTGTACACGCTTCGCCTATGAGAAAAAGGAGCAGCGCATGAACCGAACGCAACACACGTGAATCGAACCGAGACAGTCGAACCGAACGGTTCGGATGGTTTTCATAAACCGTTCCATTCCTACTTTTAACAGGAAGAAACCTCTAGCAGAACCAGGCTTAGTGTGAGCGGCCATCTGCTCCAGGAGACAGAACAGAGAGCAGAGGTACAAAAGTTAACAGAAACATAATTAGGGTTCTCTAGGTTTTTATTTATTATTTTGTCAGGTCATGGTTTGTCTTCCTCTAATAAGAACCAATCTTGTGTAGTTTTCCCTTTTTCCATAATTAAGCCAGAATCCTTGTCTACAGAACCACCAAATGCTGCCTGCATTCCTCCCCTAAACAATTTTGTGTGAATTTCTGCTTATATCCTCCACGTTTAAAGAAATAAGTGAAAGTCAGATGTCTGTCTGAAGCAGTTTTGCAACTTTTTCAGATCTGTCCACATAATTAACCACAACAGTAATATCTGCTGCTTTCCAGGCTGCTTGGTTTTTAATGCTTGTATAAGCCTGCCTAAAGGCCCTAATGGTTAAAAATCTGCTGAAGCTTGGTTGGTTTATCATCTCCTGGAACTAGTTTGATGGGCTGGTTCACCAGAAAGTTTCCTGGATGAATGAAATTAACATCAGAATTGCTGGATGGTTTGGATTGGATGGGAGGCTTTGTGGCTTGGGAGGCTAAAGGCTTTATACTTCGAAACCAGGTCGTCTGCGCACGTGTCAGAGTGAACGCAGAGACGCCCCCGCCACTTCTGCAGACACTCTGGTGTACCTCTCCCAAATTGGAGTTGACCGCAGACAGGAGGCCTCTGATTAGTCAAACCTATATCCGTTCTACTTATGCGCATTTCCTGTTTGGTACCTTACCGGCTTGTTTTGTTTGTATGACCGCCATTGTGGAAAACGACTTGTGAAGTTGGACCAGCTAGAAGGGCGAGGTGCGCGAGAACGCTGGGACCCTTTTTCCACCTGGATCCCCGCCCTTTTTTTCCCCTCATGTTCCTCTGTTGTCGCACAAACTGGCCCCCACTTCCTCACCGCCTCGGCCGTATCTAGACCCACAGCTTGTTCCTGATGGTTCCTCTTGCATTGTGGTGTGAAATAACATAGCGCAGACCACGCTTCAATATTGAGCATAAATCAGAAATGTCTGCATCATACTTGCGACAAGCTCACTGTGACACACTGCTGCAGGAGAATAACCAGGCCTTAAGACATTCATAATCCTTGTTGTTCAGCCTTTTTTTTCCAATTTAAAGTGTTCCTAAGTAGTCTGTCTGTGGAACTATTAAAGGCTGTGAAATTTGATCTTCTTTTGTCCAAGTTTAGATAAGATCCATTTCCTAATGACTCAGGAAATTGATCATTATATCTACTGCAATGTGTAACAATGAAAGCTTTTTTTCACTGGTTTTTTATTTTTTTTAGTCTTTATCCAATAGATTAAAAAGCATCAGAGAAGCCAAACTGACCCTCTGCTGCTTCGAGCTTCTGTTTGATTGTTGTTTCACCACAGGGTTCTAAGGTTTGACACGTTTGAAGCTCTGAAAGCATCTAAGTGCTATCAGTGTTTTACAGACTGGTACCTACAGGTTAATCTGAGACGTCAAGCGTCTGTGTGGTTAATTTAGAGCAGTGAAGGAGGCAAAGGGCTGTTGTTTTGAAACAAAGCTGTACACCTTTCAGACAAGTGTTAAAATAACTTAATGAGTCACAGCTGCAGTATTGTTCTGCATGTTAAACAACAACTTAACACAGCTGCACCATTTAATATCTGTGTTTTCCAATAACTGAGCGACAGTAGAACGTGGTTGAAAATAGGATTCCTTGCTGCATACAGGGATGTAAACCGACATGTACTCAACCTCTTCATTTCTCCTCCTCAGGCACTGGATAACCACCCACTTCGTCATCTGGTACGGCGTCCCCTACATGACGTACGACATCTTCGCCATGTACCTCAGCCACTACTACCGCTACCACGTCAAAGGCCACGAGGACTACAAGCAGCATTCGCTGAGAACCATAAACTCCTTTGTCCGGAGAGAGTTCCTGCTGGTCCTGCACCACATAGCCCTGCTCACCATCCTGCTGCCTATCACACTGGTGAGGAGGGGGAGGGGGTCTTTGGGACAGCATCGATGAAGCATTCAGACTGATGCTACAGTCACACCGCAAGCAGCAGAGGCAGCAGAAGCTGCTAGTTTACATGGAAAGTCAATGGTTGACGTCCATCAAGGCGCAGCAAAGGGTTCCTCAGGAGCGAGCAGCGCTTCTGAGCAGCTGAAGCAGCGCGTCATGAGCTTCTGGTCATCTGACGTACGCAATCCGATTTAGAAGCAGCAGCTGCTGGAGTTGGAAGAATTGAACTTTTGCTGTTCGACGCGCCAGATCAACCAATCAGAGAAGCTGATCTCAGAGCTGGCAGGGAGACAGACAAAGCCCTGCTGATGCAGAGCTGTATGACCACTGCTCTGAAACAGTTTATTAACCCCTAAATTAACTTAAAACGTCGAAACCTGCCTGCAAAATATGTTCGATTTTATTATTCTGGTTTCTGCAGACGGATTACGTACGGGAAAAACGCTAACATCTACTTCCAGCTGCTGCTAACAGTAGCTGAAAACCACGAAGAGGCGACCAGGCCAGAAGCTGCTGTTGAACAGGATCACCGGTGACAGAGCACCGCCAGTTTACGGGGGTCTGAGCGGCTACTTTTCGACCGCGAAGCAAAGATGCTTCAGCCGCGCGTCAGAACTAAACTTGAACAGACATAAAAAATGAACCACGTAGCGTATCGGTTAGCAAGCTGGAGGGCTGGTGATAAATCTACGGGCTGATGTATAAAGATTAGATAGTGTTTTATAGTAGACATCAAAAGCTGCACAGCCTCTTTAAAAGATCAGAGGGAAGGTTGGAGGAGGTGAATTACAGCCTAAAATATTTAGAAAAACAAAGAAAGGCATTCATCTGTAAACCTTTTCATTATTATCCATTTTATTGGTAAATGAGTCAACAGACATGCAGATGGACAAGGTCGCTTTTAAAAATAGATCTTTATTTCTCGGAGATTCTGTTTTTTAACACTCGTAACTCACAACGGCTCCAAAGTTCAACCGGCTCCGCAGCCACGAGCTGAGCACTCCACATGGTGGGAAAAAAGGACCAGCTGCGAGTTCTCTTCACCACGAGTCCCTTTTCATGACCGGGGTAGACCTGCATGACCATTTTCTCCAAATTAGGCAAAAGATTCAATTTCTTATTCTTCCCTGGAGTCTGTGATGGGGTTTAGGGTAAACATGTGGCGGCCTTTTTTGATCCGTCTTTAAAAGCGCTTGCTTTTTCTGATTAATCAGCGCAGGCAGAGAATCTGATACCAGTCGCTCTCTCATGGCTAATTGAACCTATTGAGGAAACTTGTTAATTTTACATGCAGGCAGTCGTAAGGGCATTTATGAGGAATGAAAAAAAATATTTTTAAACCTATGGAAAAGACAACGCACCTTTATCATTAGCGCCATGAAAGCTAACGCCAAAACGAACCCATGAGAAGTTCTGTTTGTAGTTTGCAAAAACAATCTAGCAGCAACGCAAGCGTGTAAGAAGCTGCGCTGGTCAAATGACACCATTATGAAAAATGTTGCTTCTTATGGGGTTAAAAAAATAACTAAGGAGCATCTCATACAGGGTTCCTGCAGGTCCTTAAAAAGTCTTAAAAGGCATTGAATTCTTCAAAATAAAACTAAGGCCTTAATTGGTATTAAAATGTCTTAAATCAGTCTTTCGTAGGTCTTAATTTTTAAAACATCATAAATAGGATTATTATTATTACGATTTATTTTTGTAATCTAAATAAAACATTAAAATTGACTTTTTTTTTTTTATGTTCTCGCCATTATTGGTTCCGGAACCAATAAAAGCGTTGTTGCGGCCGGGACATTTGGGAGATGCACCATTAACTTTTTGTCTGCAAAATATAAGCAGGTGTATATGTAACGAAAATTGGCTCCAGCCGAGGGTTTTCTCCATGGCTAAAACCAGGGAACATCCATGAGGCTCAGTGGATTTTGTGCAAGAAGTCATTGAAGCTCAGAACGATGGGAATTAAGGCAGTGGAGTCGCACATGCGAAGCACGAAACACAAAGCGTCAAAATCGAGTTACCGAGAAACAGCCGGTATTTCTCGGTTTTGTTCCACCCTTGTCTCTGCAAAACAAAGTTTGTGAATTCAGTTAAATAATTGTTAAAATGTATCTGTCATTCGTGTGTTTTTAGCTTTCTTCCTGCTTTTCCAAATTTGAAACATTAGTGCAGTGGTTTATGTTAAAACAAACCTTTGGGTTAAGTTGTCGCAAGCGGGTTTTTCTTGTGTTTCTTGTGAATTTGGTCTTACATTTTTATTTCAAGTGGCATTAAAAAGTCTTGAATTTAACTTGCCTTATGCTGTAGGAACCCTGTCATACCAAAGGTTGTTTAAGTTATATTCTAGACTAAAAATGGATGCTTTCTAAAAAGCCACCAAATCAGGCAACAAAGCCAGTAAATCTGACATTTCATGTTTGCATAAAGGAGAAAATTATGTTGTTGATTTGTGATTTAGATGGATTAGAAAGTGCAACCATTTAAAGAGTCAATCCCCTAACATATCCTGAAGTTAATAATTATTTATGACGAGTAAAAAGTCATGTGATGTGTTAGTACAACCGCCTGCCAGTAACCTATTATTGCTGGCTGCTCCGATGTGGCGCTGTGGTTTCAAATCAATCCATGCATCAAGCTGATTTACCTCCTAATGATTGCTTAAGTGGCAGCAGAAAATAGACCAGGAGCTCAATGTCATGGATTACCTATGAGGTTCTGTTCAGGCTCTTAAGGGTGCTATTGCATTGAAATAAGTTTGATTGTGCCTGGAACTGGGTTCTTCATGTCGAGCTTTTTAAAAATAGCAGACGCTCCAGAGAAACGGTGATCTTTTTAGACCTAACAGGGAGATTTTGTCTGCAATGATACAACTCTATCTGTGCTTTTATTAATTCAAATCTTTTCACCATAATTGAGATGTTTTTGCTGTTTTTTTTCCCGTTCTCCTTCAAAAAAGGAAAAACTCCTTATTGATCTCTACTATGTTTAAATACCTCTACTGCGTATTTAAAAATAGAGCGGAAGCAAAACTGAGTATGTTTGTGCTTTATTTATGTATTTATTACAAAGTATTAATCAAACCTGGGAGCTGGCCGTGAGACAGACAAATCGCTGATGACACAGAGCGCCGTGATCACTCCTCTGAAACAGTTTATTGATGCATAAGTTAACTCAAAATTCAGAAATCTGCCAGCAGAATATGTCCGCTTTTATTATCCTAGTGCCTGCAGTTTGGATTATTTAGATGAAAAACACCTACCAGCTGCCGCGGTGAACCGCAAGGAAGCGACCCGGCCAGAGGCTGCTGTTGAATGGGATTCCTACTGACAGCGCACCGCTGGTATGTGAGGGTCTGAGCGGCTCCTACAGAACTTTTATTAGAAGGCAGGATGGTAATCTGGATGAACTGACTGCAATGATTACGTTTTCAGTTGGACTTTCTCACTTAAAAACATATTAAAACTACTTTATTCCCATTGATCACAGCAAATATAGCTGCAAGGCAAAGAAAGGATAGAGTAGTAACAACACACATAGGGCGCTCCGCACATTTTGAGGGGAAAAAAAGACGTTTATATGCGCCTTATAGTCGTGAAAATACGGTAATTCATTATCCTCGAGATGTGATAAATAGGCCAGACACAACACCAGAAACCTTCCTTATTATGACACCTGCACCACCGTGCTTCAATATAATGTGGCTTAAATTCATGGAGTGGAGTGTCACCCCGACCCAAACGATCAACCTTCCTTCTTCAGTCTATAAAATCTGCTACATTTCTCTTTAAGTCAGATTAAAGACACGAAGGCAGAACATCTGCTGCCTTGGTCCTTATTTTAAGGCACCTCTTTGAAAGAATGAAGGACCTCACTGATTATACTATGCCATTATTAAACAGACTCTTTCAATTAATGACTGTTACAGAGAATGTTTTTCTATGATTCTATTGCACCTTTTAGTAACTGTACTACTAAGGATTATAATTTCTACTGAAACGATCAGTAATCTGCCTGAGGATGTTGGATTTAACGTATTTTGAGCACAGCTGTGACTCTTTGCATATTACTCTATAGCATGGTGCTTTATGCAGACTGAGTGAAGTTTACAGAATAAGTTTCATCTTTGTTCTGAACCCTGTGCTTGGTTTATGTGCCAGGTGTGGTGGAAACCCAGGCCTTTGTTTGCAGTTGCAGTCTGTGACTATAAGAGATCACATTACCCTACATTATTCAGCTCCAGCTGCAGTCAGCCTCTTTGTTTCTACTCTTCTTCTGTAAATCGTCAGCTTTATGTGAGCAAAGCTTACCAGTAAAGTCGTGCTGGGAAAGGACAGAATAATGTTAGTATGAATGAAAAAGCCCTTTTATAGTTTTGTATAGGATTTGACTGAGCACTCATTTTCAGAGCCTTGCGTGGAAACTAGGCAGCACTGATAGGTAAACATTTTTTTTCCCCTTTTTTTTTAATCAAGGTCTTTTTATTGGACAAAAATTGTATATAAAATTTACAACAGTATCGATTAAAATAAAAATGTAACAGAACCCAACCAGAGAAGGGGTCAAATAATAATAATTGAAGCAATAATACAAGAAACAAAGCGCAAACATTAATAATCCAAAGCACAAAGGCCACTATTTGTCTCAATAGCCACTAATAAATGAAGGTCGTTGAATGGTCTAGTCAAAGTGAACTGAAATTTGGTAAAATGGATCAAAACATGCTTTTTATTTTAATGTTTGCTAAAACATAAATAATGGAGTTGGGACTGGAGGCCATGTTTTGGTTTTCATTGTTGCCCAACCAATGCTGCCGTTTTAGCTTAAACTTAGGGTAAGTACCTCTGCTTTAAAAAGATATTCTGAGCTAGAGTTTTAAATAAAACCACTCAAAAGACTGAATGGGATGCAGATCAAAGCTGACCTGGGATTTCTGCAGGAGATGCAGCCAGGATTAGGTCCTAATC